AATGACTCCAAGACATTCCCAAAAGGTATTTCTCTTACTCAAGGAGAATGCCATTTAAAGAAGCACAATGGACGGGGCTCACACCTGTAATCCCAGCGCTTTGGGAGGCTGAGGTGGGTGGATCATTTGAGGCCGTAAGTTTGAGACCAGACTGACCAAAATGGTGAAACGCTGTCTCATCTAGAAGTACAAAAATTAGCTGGGCGTGGTGGTGCGCACCTGTAATCCCAGCTACTCAGGAGGCTGAGGCATGAGAATTGCTTGAACCCGGGAAGCGGAGGTTGCAGTGAGCTGAGATAGCACCACTGCACTGCAGCCTGGGAAATAGAGCAAGACTCTGTCTCCCAAAAAGAAAAAAAAGAAGCAGAATGGCAGTAAGCATGTGATACACAGTGAGGGACTGGGGTGGCAGAGCAGAGATTCATTTCCCCTGGAAACACCAACATGAGCACCCCAGAGAGGGTAAACACGGTGGATTGGCATAGAAAGCTGATTGGCTCTACATGCAAGTCGTGAACCTCTGATGGGCGTGGCTTCGTGCCCACTCATGTCTCCTATATCTACCTCCCTTCCGCATTTGTAGCCTCAGCCCCTCTGCTGGCCGGCAAGGTATACAGAGCAGCTTTCTGAGTCTTTCTAGTGAGTCTAGACCAAACTTCAGCGTAAACACACAAAAAAATAATAATAATAAAGAGAAGAATGAAATAAGAGGATTCCTTGTGAATGGATATGAGCCCTGAATCTCTTCCCAACACGCCTTTAAATTTTCCCTACAAATATTTGGATCTGTGTACAGCAAGCCTGCGTTTCGTGGAGCAACTTGCTCTCTCGGTGACCCCTGGGTCCAAGAATTGGCTGGAAACAGGAACGACTGGCCAAAGCCTGGATGGATTCGGCTGGTCTCAGTCCCTGCAGGCTTTGTTCTTCAATCTGTTTATACAGTTTCCCGTAGGAGTCTGTAATTTTAATCAGTAAATATCTCCCTTGATTTATCACCTTCTATTGACATAGTGGTAATTCAAGCAGTGGAGCTAAAGCTGGGCCTGCTGTGTGTTTTTTCCCTTCATTGTGCCCGAGCTCTGTTTGATTTTTCTCAGTCCTCTTAGGTAATTGGACCGCCTCTGACACACTCTGTATGACAAGGCTGTGGTCAGGGGTCAGTGAGTCCCCCTTCTGAAGGGCAAAATGCTCAGACCAATCATGGCGAAACCCCATCTCGAGTTTGCTAAAAGCAGAGCAGACAAACCACAGACTGATAGGGCCCAGTGGATTTCATTTAAAAAGCAGAAATCCAAGATGCTTATAAAGGACACTGTTATTCATTCCCTCTAGCCCCAGAGACAACTTGGAGACTTAATCTCCTGATTTAGTGTCTCTGAGTTGAGCAGGGAGACCCTCCTTCCCTAACCTTCTAAAGCTGCCAATTTCCACATGAGCACATTGAGCCCTCTACAAAAATGGGGTTGGATAAGGCCTGGTACTTAGTTCTACTATTTTTTTTTTAATTAATGCACTTATTTGTTTGGTATTTGTGCTAGTAAATTTGTAACATTTTTTGGGCACTCAGCATCCTGATTTCAGTATCACCTTTGACCAAAAGTGTTCATGAGCTCCTTGATGGTCAAAGAAATGAAAACTTGATAGTCATGGAGGGGAGTGGAGTCGAAGCTGTCTTGAAAGGCCCAAGGTTCTGTGCTAAGCTACTTGTGTTAATTGTAGGTGGCCCAGAAATAAAAGGAATGGTTTGACGTTGGAGGACAGGATCTAGATTCCCAAAAGATCTCAATGAACTAAACAGTCGACTGAAACTTAAAATGGTAAAATGAATATAAGTGCTGAACTTTGGTTCCAGAAATCAAATGCCAAGCCACCAAACACGGGCAATCTGTGTAAGCATAAATTTTGTGAGAATATGTTAGAAGTTCAGGTATCCACAAGATCAGTAAATGCCAACTGTATGAGTTACGGCTGCCAAAAATACTAATAAAATCTTTGGTTGTGTTGGTGTGTGAGCATGGTTCCCTCCAACCATTGTCTCACTCAATTTGGCTTTCATTTACAATTTTCATCATTGTATCCCCTGTAGTAACTAAACAGTGCCTCATATCACAAAAGCTTATTTATGTACTGTTGGATGGGTGGGTGCATGGATGGATGGATGAATGGATAGATGGCAGGATCGATGGACGGATAACGGGGCAGAACTGACTCACTAGTCAACACATATCTAAAATAATATATTGCTTCTGCCATGCTTCTGTGCCTGTAATCCCAGCTATTTGGAAGGTTAAGGTGAGAGGTTCGCTTGAGGACAGAAGTTTGAGACCAGCCTGGGTAACATAGTGAGACCTGGTCTCAACAAAAATAAAAATAAAATAAAATATTGTGTTGAATTTTCAATGCCATGTTTAAGGATGAACATGAATAAAGTGGAATTTATCAAGAGAAGAATGCCAGAGAGTGAAGGACTGGGGAATCATGCCATAGGCAAATGAGTTGAAGAAATTGGTACATTTAATCCAAAATAGGAAAATGGTGAAGGAGTCTTTGGGGTAGGGGCACTGGGGAAAAGGAAAGAAATATCATCTATGGCCAGGCATGGTGGCTCATGCCTGCAATCCCAGCACTTTGGGAGGCCGAGGCAGGCAGATCACTTGAGGTCAGAAGTTCGAGACTAGCCTGGCCAACATGGTGAAACCCCATCTCTACTAAAAATACAAACAATTAGCTGGGTGTGGTGGCGGGTGCCTGTAATCGTAGCTACTCAGGAGGCTGAGGCAGGAACATTGTTGCAACTGGGGAGGCAGAGGTTGTAGTGAGCCAAGATCACACCACTGTTCTCCAGAGTGAGACCCTGTCTCAAAAAGAAGAAAAAAAAAGTTATCTACATTTAGAATTTTGAAGGATGGTGAGTGGGAGAGGGATTAAACTAGTTTACATTGCTTCAGAGGACAAAGCTAGAAGCACACGGTGGAAGCTACAGATAGGTAGATTTCAGCTCTGAATAAGGAAGCTAGAAGGACTCCCTGATGCCTGTAGGGAGGTAGCCTGCCCCGACTGATGGTCTGTTTCTCACGTGCGGCTGACTGTTATAGCAGCCCCTGTTCGTGGCAGCTCTTTCCCTACCGTGCCTCCGCAACTAATTGCCAGTGTCCCTTGCTCAATGCTTTATTTAACAGTGCTTTGCATTAAAGTGAGGTCGTATGTCTGTCTCCTCCACTAAGCTATAAATTCCTTGAGAACAAGGCCTATGCCTTTCCTACTCTTTATATGTAGCAGAAACACAATCAACATTTACTTCATTTGTTCAGTTAAATAGGAATTGGCTGCCTTTTCTCTTCAAGTCCACTACCCAAAAAAATGCATTTGGTCTAGTCTGAGATCTGCGGAAACACAGCAACTCCTGAATGGTAATATAACCATACTGGCTGTATGCCAGTGTTCTGTGTATTTTGGGAAAGGTCACATCTGTGAATCCGTTCTTCCCATCTTTAAAGCAGGGATACCTACATTCTTGAGGCTCACAATGCTGTGCACATAATGTTTCATATGCTTTCAAAGAAAAGTAATCTCTAAATGTAAGGTGCCATTAGGATGATATATGTCACATTAAAGAAACATTTTCTCCTTCCCCTTTAACATTAGCATTCTCTTTTGTTTCCCAAGTTTTCACCATAAGATTCTAGAAAGTTCATTTCAAAAAACCCCATTTATCTGCTACCCGTTCAAACATCTACAAACCACTGGAACTTCTTTGGCATAGAATGGAAGATATGTTTATTTTCCCTCCAACCATTATCTCACTTAATTTGAATTTGACTTGGGTATTTGGTTGGTTGGTTGGTTGGTTGGTTGGTTGGTTTTGAGATGGAGTCTTGCTCTGTCACCCAGGCTGGAGTGCAGATATTAATTTTAGGAATTCATCGTTATTTGGGCTGTTTCTAATAACTCACGTCATTGAGTATTTTGGTCTGAGGGATATACAAATGTCACCTTCAAGTCACATTAATTGGACGGAGTGCCTCCAATGTGCTGATGAAATCAACTTGCCTCCATGACTTAGTCATGCTGATGCTGCAAATCTAGGTGGGGCCAAAGATGAAATGATGAAGGCACTTTTCTTTATGCTTATTCTGTGAATGAAAAAAATTGCTCTGATGCAAGCCTTGTGCTTGTTCTCATTATTACGTCACTGCATTCCCAGCATATTAGATGGCAGGGTAGGGCTGGACCAGCACATCAAGGAGAAGACTTTTCTCCACTCTTAGCTCTTGTCTAGCCTACATTTTATCACACTGCCACATTCCTTCCCAAAGGTGGCAGCATTCTGGAGAATGGTAAAGGGAAATGATTTCCAGAGAAGTAATTAGCAAAATGCATAGAGGCTTAAAGAAAAAAAAAAAAAAGGAGAAGAAGAAGAAGGCTATCAATCAATAAATAATAAAAAATTCAGCCAAGGGCATTTTCCATCTTGGTGTTCTTGGCTATGAGAGCGAGAAAGAGAGATTCATGAGGACAGGTCAGGTTACCCCTCCTTAGCTCACATTACACAGCTTCAATATAATGCAGTGTACTCGCATAAAGGGAGGTGATAAGGAACAAAAATGGGAACTATGCTTTCACCTGCACTTGACTTCCTACCATCACTTCAGACTTTCAGGTAGCACTGTAAGATACCTGATCTTAGATATTCACGGAGTAATTGCATCGACATTGATCTCTTAATGGTAGATGATGAGTTAATTCATCCCCAAACCCTTCTGACTTGGCAGATGAGGAGTCATTAGTCATTGAACTTATTCTGGGCATTACACATTCTATTATTTATCATTTACATATAAATGAAAGTGTGAGCCTCCTAGAGTGATGGGACGGTGCTAGATAGTTTAGAGATTTTTCCATTGCCAGGAGACCAGAGTCAATAATGCAACCGGATGAGAGAATAAGTAAATACAGGATTTGGAGAGAAGAGTTGGCATAGCTGATGAGGTGGGTTGGGGATGGCTCTGGTATTAGAAGAAGAAAGGTAAGGAGTTATATTCATTCATTTATGCATTCATTCCACAAATATTCCTTGTGCTAGATAAGATTATTAGACATAGCCCTGCCCCTCCAAGTAAACAAATCATATGTCATCCCAAGTTGGGAAAAGTGCTTTGAAGGAAACAGACAGGGTGTTGTAGGAGAAAATAATGGGAATGGGGGTTCAAGGGTTGGGAGAGTATTTGAATAGACTGGTTAGAGAAGATCTCTAAAGAGTTAACATGTAAACTTGAACCCAAAGGATAATAAAGAGCCAGCCATATAAAGGGGAAATGATAAGTGACAGAGGCTTTATGAGGCCTTGAAGCGGGAAAAGTCCTTGGCAAATTCAAAGAAGTAAACTGTTAATGGCACTTCCCTTTATCGAGCACCTATCATGGCCAGACCCTGGTCTAGATGCTTTGTGTGTGTTAATGCATTTACTCCCCCAGCCCTCTGAGCAGGCGTTGTTACATCCCCACTCTACTGGTGATGAAAATGAAGCTAGTGTGGCTGGAACATAAAGGGTGAAGGGGAGATGGCTCAAGACCAAGTTGGAGAAGCAGGCAGTAGCCACCAGTGTTTTTTTGTTTGTTTGTTTTTGTTTTTGGAGATAGAGTCTCACTCTGTTGCCTAGGCTAGAGTGCAGTGGTGCAATCTCAGCTCACTGCAGCCTCTGCCTCCTGGGTTCAAGTGATTCTCCTGCCTCAGCCTCCCAAGTAGCTGGCATTACAGGCACAAGCCACCACGCCCAGCTAATTTTTGTATTTTTAGTAGAGATGGGGTTTCACCATGTTGGCCAGGCTGGTCTCGAACTCCTGACCCCAAGTAATCTGCCCACCTCGGCCTTCCAAAGTGCTGGGATTACAGGTGTGAGCCACCGCGCCCGGCCAAGTGGGGTTTTCACCAGGGAAATGGGCTTAATCTGATTTTGGTGTTTGATTGGTTGGTTGGTTGGTTTTGAGAGGGAGTCTTGCTCTATCACCCAGGCTGGAGTGCAGTGGCGCTATCTTGGTTCACTGCAGCCTCCACCTCCCAGGTTCAAGCGATTCTCCTGCCTCCTGAGTAGCTGGAATTATAGGCATGTGTCACCATGCCTGGCTAATTTTTTTTTTTTTTTTTTTTAGAGACGGGGTTTTGCCATGTTGCCCAGGCTGGTCTTGAACTTCTGACCTCAAGTGATCCACCCGCCTCAGCTCCCAAAATGCTGGGATTATAGCCATGAGCCTCTGCACCCGGCCCTGATTTGGGTTTTTAAAGGATCCCTCTGGGCTGCTCATTGATGAGCGGGCTGCAATGGGGCAGGAGAAGAAGTGCGGGGACCATTTAGAAGGCATTACGGGTTTCCAGCAAGAGGAGATGTGACTGGACCAGGAGGGTTACAGCAGAGGAGATGACAGGAAATGATGGGTTGGAGGCAGGTTTTGGCTGCGTGGAGAGTTGAGAGGCAGCCCAAGCAGTGAGGATGCAAAAAGAAAACACATGAACTCAAACCTAATACCAGCCTCCTGCTACCACTAAAGAGAGGGAAGAGAGAGAGAGTCGCAGAATAGATTCCTTGAAATTGGAAGAGTTTCAGGCATCTGACCAGGATCCTGCCTCGCTGTCAGTATAAAACTTAAATACCCATTGCCTGCATGTTGCGGTTTGGCAGTTCTTATTCCTCCTTTTTGTTGTTGTTGTGGTTGTTGTTGTTGTGTGAACACACACACCACCCACTCCTGATCCACTGGGGCCTTAGAAGGCATCAGAAAGTGAGGTTTCCTCCTGTGGCCAGGAAGGTCTCCATGCAGAGAAGAGAAGTCTGCTACCCAGAAACTGAAGAGAAGGAAAAAAAGGTGGCTCACCTGGAGGAAACAGGTCCAGCGAACTGCAAGCCAATCATTAACCCTGCCCAAAGCCTTGAGGACACTCACACACTTGGGAATTTTGGGAGCCCGGAAACTAACTGCAAAGTTTACTTTTAGAACAAGGCCCAGAGAAGGAAGCAAAAGATAAACAGGGACCGAATGTTTTAATTATTTTACATGGTTCCACCCCAACACCATTGCCTAAATCTTAAAGGAATGAAGGTCCAAAGGGGTTTATGGGAGAGCATTTTCTTCCTTCCCCTCTCTGCCATACAGGCTTGCAACTGCCCTGCGCCCTCACTTCTACAGCGTTCCCTTCATGGGAATGGCTGGGTATATCCGTGGCTATCTTGTGACTTTGACCAAACCTGGGTGTCGGAGCCTGGTGAGTTTCCTGGGCGGTTGTGGTCGGCTTCACAACAGTAGCCACATGGGATGCTCTCCAGGGACTGCCTCTGAGTTTCGTGGATACAGTTCTTCATCTGGGTTTTATAGAGAACAGGGGTCCTGACCTTGGAGTGCAAGAGAGCAGAGCTTTGTTAGTAAACTGTCCAGGGAAGACTTTAAGGAAAACGAATGAGGTGGGGAAAAGGGAAACTGGGAAGGGCCAAAGGAATCCAGACCCTTCAACACGTTCAGGCACAAGCAGACTCCCTGGGTGTGGCCTTCGGACTCACAAAATCAACTCCAGATATCTTGGGGAGAGCAAGAAGAGAGGACAAATATGCAGGGGCAGGAGGGTCAGGGGGAGGGTGGGGGAATACCTGCTAATGCAATCAACTGCAAGTGGAAACGACGAGCCGTCGCCCACGGAAGATCTCAGAAAACACAGCTCGAAAAAGTACAAAAGTCCTTCAGTGTGAGGAAATGAGGCGCATCTAATTATAGTTAAGAAAGAAACAGCAAGAACTGCTTTAAAAGCCTCCTCTTAGTCTTCCCCTCTCAAACCAGTAAGGATCCCAAAGCCAGAGACATCGTTGCTTCACAGAAAGTGAGGAATTGAAGAGCGCATCACAGGAAACAAGATTATTTTCCCAGAACTGAGAAAAACTATCACCCAAGACCTTCCCTGCCTGTTCTCTTTTCCCCTCCCAAAAAAGAAAAAAAAAAAAAAAAAAAGGTCCCATCAGGAAACAGCAGGGGGAGAAAGAAAGAAAAAAAAACCACAGGCAACGCCACCATGAGAAATGAAGGCAGTCGAAATGACATTTGACACCGCCAGGCCACAGCTGAAGAACAAGGGAAAAGTTTTAGGGCGACTGTCAATGACCCATGCTCCTTCACTCCTAACCTTGCTCCTAGCATATGTTTCTCATTTCCTTGCTTATAGCTGGTCCAAGCTAATGATATGTGTTTTGGCCGGGATCCCGTGCTTGGCATACAGCCGGTCTTGTTCTCATTGTCCGGGCTACTTACAGAAACCTCTTTCTCTGTCTCTTTCTCTCTCTCAAAAAACCGGCTTTAAAGAACAGTAAATATGCAAAACAGCCCCTACGCTCTATAGAGCTACCATCTTGAACACGGCCTACGCCATCCTCACACACCCCATCAATAAAGGCCTGAAGAGACTGCCCACAGGAGAGGGGTAAGTTCAACACAAAAGCAGTGGAAATTCAAACAAATTGGCCCATTAGAGTCTCACACGGCTATAAATACAGCTCGGCTGGGGCTATTTTGAGGGACGGTGGCATGGGAAAGTTCGGCCTGGAATCTTGAGTCTGTCAAAGGAGACGGATCTCTCCCAAGACATGGGAAGAACACGAAGCGCCTGGCGGGCAGGAGGAAGGAGGGCGCTGGAGCTGGTCAGTTTCAGGGCCAGGTTACACGTGGATGGCTGAGACAAGGCCGGGCCTCGCCCCTGCACTCCGGGGCTGCCGGACCTGCTGTTGGAGGCTTGGGCTCCGGTGTCACTCAGAGTGTCCATAACCTCTAAAAAGGCCGAACATGCCCTTTTGCTCCTCAGGGGTCAACGGACCATTTCACTCTTCTTGAAGGACCCGGCAGGCGGGTGGAGGAGGGGTGGGAAACGGAGGGGCTGGGGAGTCTGGGCAGGACCCGGTCTGCAGTCAGCATCTCTGGCGGACCCGGAGGGGAATTTTTTTTTCCGTTTTTTTATTGATACATAATCATTGTGCCTATTGATGGGGTAGGTGTGATATTTTGATATAATGTGTAATTATCAAATTAGGGTATTTAGGGTAACCATCATCTCAAGCATTTAGCATTTCTTTGTGTTGGGAACCGTTGAGGAGGGCATCTTTGCCCATTCAACCCCAAAGGTTGACACCGGGTACGTATATGTTACGAAATTAGGGGCACAGTAGCATGGATTTGAGGAAATGGGTCCCATTAACAAGAGTTAGTAAAATATGTAGGCAGAGAATATATATGCAGATGTCAAGAACTGCTTAACATTCCCCCTCAGGGTGTGTCAACAGATGGCAATTAACTGCTAGCAGTTAGGAACCAGTAAATACAGAATACACAGATGCTTATGCTTCGTGTACCTGCCTGAGCTGCAGGAACACAGATTCCCCTTTGCGGCTGTGAAATTGCAAGGAACGTTTGGGTTCTCTCTGCAACCCCCGCCTATTTTCTGTTCAGAAAGCACACCCAGGACAACTGTGAACTTACTGAATAAGTCTGAGCATTCACTGTAGACCAAGCACTTTCCAAGGCACAAGAGTCACACAGACAGAGCTCCTACTGCCTGAGGCTTTCAGCCCAGTGGATGCATTTGATTGGTCCCTGACCCTATAGTTTCCTTGACAATGCCTCTGCATTTCCCTGGAACAGCCCAGTTTATATCTGTTATCCCAGAGTAATTATTAATAGCACTTCTTTTCACTCTGAAAAGCGTCCCAGTTTGGATGATAAATTATATGGCTACTCTATCTAGAGTCCCTTTTTTAAAAGAGTTTTTTTTTTTGGGAGGGAGGGATGAAATCTAATACACAGAGATAAAAAGTGCAAAAATATAGCATCCTCTATTTGAGAGGCTCTTTGGAACTTGCTGAAGTCAAGAGAGGGTTCCCAAATGATGAAGAAAATGGCTTTAGCAGATTAAATTTTAATTAGTTCATAACAGGTTCCACCTCATTCTGGACTTGAATCTCTGCCGCATGCTGTCGCCGATTCTGTAGTCCCAGACATTGTCGGCTCTGGATTTTCCACAGTGCGTCAGAAAACTCAAACTGACTGCCCTCTTCCACCAAGCCCGGGGACAGCTGGGGCACATGAGGGCACTTGTCCCCACACAGCCTGATGGGGAAGAGCCAATTCAGGTTACCATGACAACACCCTTTCCTGAAAATCTCTGACTGACACTTCCTGGGGAGACAGGAAGTACCGACAGGAAGATCCCGAGGTCATTCTTTTCCTTTGTCCAGCTTTTCCCACCTCCCAGACTCTCTGATGATTTGACCTTTCCTAGCTCAGCATATCTTCTGCCAGCCCCATCAGCAAAGCTGGGGGCAAAAAGCAAGCAACTGTTTCTGTCCGCTTCTTCCCAGCAGGCCAGTGGAACGCCCAAAATATTTTAGTAATAACCTGCATCAAAGTAACTACAGAGGGCTGAGCATGGTGGTTCACGCCTGTAATCCCAGCACTTTGAGAGGCAGAGGCAGGCGGATCACCTGAGGTCAGGAGTTCGAGACCAGTCTGGCCAATATGGTGAAACCCTGTCTCTACCAAAATACAACAAATTAGCTGGGTCTGGTGGCATGTGAGTATAGTCCCAGCTACTCTGGAGGCTGAAGAATGAGAATCGTTTGAACCCGGGAGGTGGAGGTTGCAGTGAGCCGAGATCATGCCACTGCACTCCAAACTGGGTGACAAAGTAAGACTATGTCTCAAAAAAAAAAAAAGAAAAAAAAAACAAAACTAGTGAAAGGAAGATGCTTCAAAAAGTGATAGCGCTGATTTGAAAGTAAACGAACAATTTATGGACTGCCTGCACTTTTGCAATTAACATCAGGACATTAATAATCATCCCACAAGTGTTACTGAGTGCCTACCACATGCCAGGCCCTGTGTTGCAGACAGGGTATTAAGTATTGAACAGAATGGATATGGCCCCTGCCTCCATGGAGCTTACAGTGTCCTAAGGGAGACAGACATTCAATGGATAATCATACAATAAATACGCAACTACCAATTGTAATAAATGCAGCAAAGGAAAAGTGCAGAGTAGGAGCGGCCGGGCTCAGTGGCTCACGCCTGTAATCCCAGCACTTTGGGAGACTGAGGCGGGTGGATCATGAGGTCAGGAGATCGAGACCATCCTGACTAACATGGTTAAACCCCGTCTCTACTAAAAAATACAAAAAAATTAGCCGGGCGTGGTGGTGGGGCGGGGGTGCCTGTAGTCCCAGCTACTTGGGAGGCTGAGACAGGAGAATGGCGTGAGCCTGGGAGGTGGAGCTGGCAGTGAACCAAGATCACGCCACTGCACTCCAGCCTGGGTGACAGAGCAAGACTCTGTCTCAAAAAAAAAAAAAAAGAAAAATGCAGAGTAGGAGAGAACCTACAACAGGGGTACCTAATTTACAATTGGGTGGGTCAGAGAAACACTCCCTCGTAAAAAAAGCAGCTTTGATCTAAGACCTGAAGGATGACAAGAGGTAGGCAAAGAATATCTGTCATCCATTTATATCAAGAATCCAGGCGTCTCCACCATACCGGGCATAACCTTGATACTTTACTGAAATATTTTACTTCTAGTCCAAAAGAAGATTTGCCTCACTACTTACTTTTCTTTTTTCTTTTTTGAGACATCGTCTCACTCCGTCGCCCAGGATGGAGTGCAGAAGCGCGATCTTGGCTCACTGCAACCTCTGCCTCCCAGGTTCAAGTGATTCTCCTGACTCAGCCTCCTGAGTAGCTGGGATTACAGGCATGCGCCACCACACCCAGCTAATTTTTTGAATTTTAGTAGAGACAGGGTTTCACCACGTTGCCCAGAAGTTGCCTAGAAGTCATACCTCATGGTATGACTTTCAGGCCTACGTATTTACAACCTGCATTTAAAACAATACAAGAGATTCATAAAGCCACCATTCTAGATTGTTAGTTAGCTGTGCTTGAAATGTAGGAAAAGTTCAGAACATGCCCTTCATCTATTTCAGCAAATCTCTCATATCTGAATCCCCAACACCTAGCATGACTGAAAGCATTGTTACCATGTAATCGTTTTAAGTATTAGGCGCTCAATGTGCATTGAATAAATGAAGGTATCAATGAACAAATAAGTGAACTTTAATAGGTGTCTTCTATGGACTAGGTGTGTGCCAGATACCCTCACAAATATCCTCCAATTTCAACACCCTAACCTTATTGCACCTTTCTCAAAGATAGGAGTCTAATGTGCTGAACCAAACAGTAGTT